TCTTTATATGCTGTTGACATTGTCATTTTATAATTTTGAGACCACAGTTTTTGCCATTTCTCTAAATAAATCCTATTCCCAAAATTTTTTTAGCTTAATCTAATAAATGTTTGTATAATTTTTTGATCACTTTTTCATCAGTACCTGTCAAAATTTTATCTAAATCAGTCAATTTATCACAGAAACCTTCTGTTTTAAAATCTTTGTCATATCTAGAGTGTATTTGCACATATGAAAACCAATTCATCCTTATACCTTGTTCTTCTAGTTCTTGCGTAGATTTAAGTTCACCTTTTTCATTCAATATTTCACCGTATCTAACTGTTTGTTCCTTTTTATATGTTATTGGGTATGAAATGCTTCAATAGTCGATAACCAGACTGGAATTTTTAAATAGTATTGCTTTTTAGTCTTCTCCCAATTTAATAACAAAGCCTCTTGTATATAGCGTCTTCTGAAATACCCTTGTGTTTTAGTTCCCTTGTACCATAAGAAGGTGTGCCATCCCAACAACAAATCATGTCCTTCTAGTGTCAATTGGGCAGGCCAAATCCTCCTCTTATTCTTCTAGGATCTTGTAACAGTTTTGATTTTATTCTCATTTTTTTTCCTTGCCAAATATACTTCAACACTATTTTATTTAAATCCTCAAAATAATATTTCCCTAATCTAATTGGAATTGTCGGGAACAAATAAAAATTCTAGGTAATATATTCGTTTTAATTGTTGATATTCTCCCTATTAAAGATAATTGTAAATTTTGCCAAAATCTGTTGTTTGAGTTTAAGATAGTTATTCTCTTTAAGTATACTACATCTTGCTGTCAAGTATATCCCCAAATACTTAATCTTATTTGTGACCTGGATCTTCAAAACATCCGCCAATTCTTCCCTTTGTCTTATTAACATATTCTTTGTCAAAATCTTCATTTTATCTTTATTTATTTTCAAACCAGCTACTTTTCCATATTCCTCTATCTTTTCTATCAATTTAAGTGCTGTTTCTAATGGATCCTCTAAAATAAAAATCAGATCATCTGCAAATGCTTGCAGTTTAAATTCTTCCTTTTTAACTTTCATTCCTTTTATATCTTTTTCTTCTCTGGTATTTCTATTTAACAGTTCTAAAGTTAACACAAACAACAGAGGTGACAGTGGGCAACCTTGTCTTGTCCCTTTCCTTATGTCAATAAAATCTGTCAATTCCCCATCTATCATTACCTTTGCTGTTGGTTTATGATGTATAGCTTCTATGGCTTGAATGAATTTCTTAACAAAGCCCATTTGCTCCATCTGTAATAACATAAATCGCCAATTCACATTGTCAAAGGCTTTCTGTGCATCTAAAAATATCAAAGCCATTTGTTTTTCAGGGTGTGCCTCATAGTATTCCAAAGTGTCCAGAATTATTGTCATGTTATCTTTAATTTGTCTCTTCGGTAGAAACCCATTTTGATCAGGGTGAATAAAGTTATTCAAATATCTTTTAAGTCTTTCTGCCAATATTGAAGTGAAGATTTTATAGTCTGAATTTAGCAGGGAAATGGGTCTATAGTTCTTGATTTGCTGTGGGTCAGCGTCCTCCTTTGGGACAAGCATAATATATGCTTCTGACCATGATTTTGGTATTCTCTTCTTCAACATGACTTCATTCATAACTTCTAACAATGGAAGATTCAGTGATTCCTGTAATGTCTTGTAAAATTCCGCTGGAAGTCCATCCAGACCTGGTGCCTTTCCATTGTTTTGTTTTTTAAGTGCTTTAATTAATTCCATCATCATTATATTGTTTTCTAACATCATTTTAGTCTCTTTAGGTATCTGGGGCAAATTCGCTTCCTGCAGGTATTGTATAACTCTTTCGTCATCTATATTCTCTTGTTCATACAATTTTCCATAATAATCCTGTATAATCTTTTTCTTCTCTTTATTTCCATAGCACACTTGCCCTTGATCATCTATTGATTGCATTGTTTTTCTTGATTCTCTCTCCTTTCTCAATTTGTATGCTAACCATCTACCTGGTTTATTTGCATCTTCAAAATAGTTCTGTTTAGCACCTCTAATTTTTTGTGCTAGTTCCTCTTTTTCCATCAGCCCCATTTTGTGTTTAATTGTGTCCATTTTTAATTTAATCCCTTTTTTGTGGCAGTTTCTGTAACTCTTTTTCAAGTCTCTCGTAATCATCCTCCAATGCTTTAGAGGCTTGTCTTTCATAATATTTATTTTCCTTGTATAGTCTATTATCAGGCCTCTGGCATAAGCCTTCATTGTGTCCCAAAGATTCTGCATTGATGTATCCTCTTTTTTGTTTTCTTTGAAGAAAAAGGCCAATTTTCTTTTAATATAGTATTGTTTAAAGTCCATCCAGATCTTCTTTGTCCTTTCCATTTGATTGTCATTGGATTGTGGTCTGCCCAAGTACTTGTTTCTATATCATTTTCCTGTACATTAGAAATCAATTCCGTTGACATCCATATCATATCTATTCTGGACCATGATGAGTGTCTATTTGAATAAAAAGTGTATTGTCCTGTTTTAGCATTTCTTTCTCTCCATGCATCTTTTAAATTTATTTCATCTGTCATTTTAAAAAAGGATTTTGGAAGAGTGTTTCTACTTTGCTTTATTGTTTTCTGTGTTTTATAGTCCAATTTATCATCTACTATTCCATTGAAATCTCCCATCATGCAAATATTAACATAGTCCAATTATTTTCATATGTAAAATTCTTGATTATCATTTGGAGCATAAATTGCTATTAAAAGTATTTTCATATTATTGTCCATTATTTCCACCATCAAAATTCTTCCATCATCATCTGTATAAATCAGTTCCGCTGGAATTGTATCTTTGATGTATAAAACCACTCCTCTTTTCTTACATCATGTCAATGCAGTAAATATTTTCCCTAACTTTGGCTGTATCAATATTTGTTCATGTTGCTTTTTAATATGTACTTCTTGTAGGCAGATTATGTCATATTTTAATTTCTCTTGTTTTATGAAATGTTTTCCTTCTTTTAATAGCGGAATTGAGACCATTTATGTTGATTGTAATCAATTTTTTCTCTTCCATGTTTATACTTTATAAGTAGGTTTTGCAGCCCTAGTAAGATCTTGGTTCTCGTTCTCTAATTTCCACCTTTCCGCCTACTGCACCTTCTTCTTTTTCAGTTGCTGCTTGACATTCCTCCTGAAATTCAATGAATGACACTTCTCCTTCTGTCTCCTCCTTTTTCCCTCTAAAATATTCTACATAAAATAATTCTGCTTTCTCAATCCAATCAATTCTGTGTCTTTGATCTTGCCATGTAAACATGAGGCCTTCTGGTATCAGCCATCTATAATTCACGCCTTTTTAAGTAGTATTTTGTCAAAAATTGATACTCTTTTCATCTCTCTCACTTTTCTGGGTGCTTGTTTCAGGACCACAATCTCCTTGTCTTTATATTTCAGTGTTTTCTCTCTTGCCATCTGTAGTATTTGCGTTTTAGTAGCTTTTTTCGTAAATATGATATGGACTTCTCTTGGCAATTTATTTCTTATTGCATATCTTGTAAAGACTTGGAACACCTTGTCTATTCCATCCATCATCTTCTCTTTAGTTATTTCCAATGCCTCAGCCAAAATTTCTGTCATTATTTCTGCCAAGATTTCCCTTTTTTTCCCTTCTATATTTTGAAATCTGAGATAAAATTCTGATCTGTCGATCTCCCATTCCAACATTCCACTCTTATTTTGTTCAACCACGCTTAGTCTACAGTCAATATCTGCTATCTTCTTGTCTCTTTGTTTATCTTCTTCAATTTTTTGGAATCTGTCCTTATATTTCATCATCATTTGGTGGATGTTCTCAACCTTTTCATCTGTTTTCCTTGTTCTTTGTTCAATATTCTCTGTTCTTTGTTCTCTATTCTCTGTTCTCTTTTCAATATTCTCTGTTCTTGTATGTTTTGAATTCCTTGCATAATCATCTTCAACATCACTTTTTCCTGTTCTTTTTCTTGTTGCAACATCATCTGTATTGATTGTTATCCTCCAGATGGTGAAGCGGAAGAACTTGGTATTGAAGAGCCAGCCACTGTTCTTTTCCTACTCATTTCACAATAATTATAATATTTCAAACAATACAAAATCTTCAGGTTCTTCTACACCTTAATCCACTTGTATATTGAACAAATGTAATTCCAAGTAAAGATAAAAAGGAAAAACAAAAGAAAAAAGAAAATTCTTCAGGCTTTTCTATACCTTAATCCAATTAATCGGAGTGGAATGGGCCAGACAATACCATAAACAATCTCCCAAATATAAAAAGAAAAGAAAAAGAGCCACAATAAATCCAATATAAAAAAGGAGATGAAAAAAGGAAAAGGGGAGGGAAAAAATCTATTCCCTTAAAAAGAAAATAATAATAATAAAAAGGAAAAGGAAAAATAAAAAAAGAAACTTTCCAAAAAGCCAAAATTACAGAAGTCCACCAAAAATAAGTAGCTTGGGGGGAGGGTGTAAGTAGAGGCTAAACACAAAGCAAGAAAGCCAACTTTCTATCAGAAAAAAAGAAAAGAAGAACACACTGCTTCTGTATAATGTCCAAGGCTTTTTTGTTAGGTTCCAAACAGATTTTATAACTCTCTTCCCAAGAGTCTTATAATCTTTCTTTCAATTCCAAACTTTCTTTCAACACCAGACTCCAGCCACTGATAGTAATCCAGAAGAGCACCTGTAATAACATTCTTCCATGCTCTTCCCTCTATCTTATCAAACAGGCTCAAAGTCCTTGAAGAAAACCCTTAATTCTTTCTTAGCATTATCTAGTCTTCAGAAAATGAAAGAAAACAATGTTTCCAAGCCTCTGGGTGGCAGTGTTACTTATTTTCCTCTACTTTCACTCCCCCACCTTTATCCAAAACAAAAGATTTAAAAGTATTTTAAAAAGCAAAAATTAATTAGAAACTTAAAGGAAAACTTAAAAAAGGATCCCTAACATAAAATATTATAAAAGCAAAAAAAAAAGGAAAAGGGAAAAGAAAAAAAACGAGTCCAGTTTTAAAGTTAAAAAGCGTACATAAGCAATCCAGCAATAGAATAATAAAAAACCCACTAATTTTGACTTCCTGTTTAAAATCGCCGCTTAGCCTCTTCTGTCTTCAAATTTTACAATTTCTTTCTTAGGGTGTTGTCTCAAATAATAAAGTTTAAGAAAATCATCTCACCAAACCAACACACTTTCTCTTCTATTCTCTTCCGTCCGGAGCTGCACCAGCTTCAGCAGCTTCAATGGCCGCCTCTTTGCCGCTGGAAAAAAGAGCTTCTCTTGGATCTACCAGGGACTTTGCGGTGTCCCCTGGATCAACAGGATGTGCTCTTCTCTGTCACTGTCTCTACGGGACAGTTTAGGTCCAAAAGGACCATCCAGCAGCAAAGATATCGACAGCGATCTTGGAGCTTCAAGATTGTGTGTCGTACTGCCGCGATGCCAGCCCCACCTCCCCAACTGGGCCGGGAATTTTGATTGTAAGTCGTTTTGGTCACCACCTTTAGAACCATTTTTATGATGCTTGTAAAGCAAGTCATTGGTTGTTAAGGAAATTGTCATTAAGCAACCCACCTGGTTATTAAGCAAACCGATCCTTCTGAATGGCATTTTTTGTCAGAAACGGGCAAAAAGGTCACAAATCATAGTCATGTGACCAGTACAATGTACATTGTACATTGTAACCAGTTATAAATGTGAGTTGGTTGTCAAGTATTCCAAATCATGTGATCATAGGGTGGCACGTGAAGTGAGCATGCAGCAGTTGTAACTCTTAGAGTCATAAGTAACTTTTAAAAAAATCTGTCTTAACTTTGACCATTTGTTAAGCAGCTGATCTTTAAATGAAAATTACCAGGAATCCATACCTTAGGTCTCTATCTTTTTAGGTTCAACAATGATACAAGTTCCTGCTGTAATGATTCTGAGAATAGCAACAGAAACCAGTGATAATCTGTCCCAGTTCTTCATTTTTGCAACAGATACCTGTGAAGAGATGTTTCTTTATTTGCTGAAATGTATGCATTTTTTAATGATTTCTGAAGTCAGTATTTCTTAATAATTGGGAACAGACTTACAGATACTTGCTATACCTACCTTGGAGGGGCACTCCAGATACAGATAGTTTTGGACTTATAGCCATTTGTGTAGAGACCATTCAAAGTTACAACAGCACTGAAAAAAGTGACCTAATGACCGTTTTTCACACTTATGACTGTTGCAGCTTCCCTATGGTCACGTGATCAAAATTGATGTGCTTGGTAACTGGCATGTATTTACGATAGTTGTGATGTCCAGGGGTCGTGTGATCACCTTTTACAACCTTCTGACAAGCAAGATTCACTTGATAACCATGTTACTAACTTAACAACTGAGGTGACTCATTTAACAACTGTGGAAAGAAAGGTCATAAAATGCAAGTAAAACTCACTTTAACTGTCTTGCTTGGCAATGGACATTTTGGGCTCAATTGTGGCCGTAAGTCGAGGATTTACCTGTACAGCCCTTAAAGAATGGTTTTATTAATAATATTTTATTATTATGATGATGGTTGGTTCCCCAGTCAGCCAGAGGTTTAGATTAGATTGGACATTTTTCATCCACTGGTTGAGTCCTTCCCATGGATCTAGGAGAGGCAGATGTGGATGTTTAATGATGTTACAGATAAAAGCTATTCTGAGCAAAGATGGCTTTTGCTATTGATGATGGTGATTTTGTCATTGTTGATAGTGTTCAAGTGGTGCCCCAGTTGTTTTGGAATTGCACTGAAGGCCCTATTACTATTGGTACTACTTTTGCCACAGTCACTATTATTACTATTATTATTGATCATCATACACTCAGCCAGATGTTCAGACTGGGTTTGGCATTTTTGTCTACCTATCAAGTCCTTACTAGGGACCTGGGATAGGCAAATCTGGATGTTTGACAGTGTTATAGATAGTTGCAGGATGGAAGCAGTTCCAAGTAAAGCTGCCTTCTGCAATTGACTGATGGCAAATTTGTCAATGCCAATGGTGTTCAAGTGGTGCTCCAGTTGTTTTTGTATTATTATTATTATTATTATTATTATTATTATTATTATTATTATTA